GCTCTATGAATCAACAGTGGTTGGAAAGTCCTCTCACAAACAGGTTATTCATTCTGCAGGCCCTGCCTGCAGGATTGGAAGTCTGCAAAACTGCCTGCAGAACTGTTACATCTTGACATGCAAAATGAGTGAAAATAATATGAAAAGCTACCTATCAATACCTAACCGCAAGAATCCTCCATCTGTGCTTGAAAGATGGAGGATTCATTTTGATATTCCTTCATTTCACATGGTTTAAAGAGGCTGGAGCTTAAACAGTGCGTCCAAACAGACGATAATGAAAGCTGGTGAAGCAGAAAACAAATATAGAAACCATTTAGTATTTTACAGTTTACAACCTAACGGAAGAATGTTGAAAAAATATGACCGCATCAGTGGCCCACCCAGAATACAAAAAACTATACGTGTTTGGAGGTTTTATTTAACTGGAACCAATGCGGACATACTTTTTCTAAAAGGTTGTAGCTCCTTCCCGAGATAATCTTATTTGCCATTTGCTTAATTTGGATGTATAAAGAATTAATGGAAATTCAATACAAACATGAAGTAGGATTGTTTTTTATCGTTCCTGAAACTTCCCTGAACATTGAGGGATGTTGATTTGTTCATGTTTTTATAGTCTGTTCGAATGACATGTAGGGTATTAAACAACATTTTCTGTCCTGGTATTATATTAACTGTGAAATTTAGGTCAAATTTTCTTTTTTTCCTATTCAGTAAGAATGGCTTTTCTAGGATAAAAATTTATTCCTTCCCTGCAAAGTTTATGAGCTCCTTCAGAGTGTCAAATAACTATATGGTAAAATAAATCTAAAATTAAAACAGGCTCTAAGTTAGTTGTTGCCACTTAAAGCATTTTGCATTAGTGTTTTTATTCACTTTAATTTTTAAAGTACAACTTTTAGGTACTATATGTCAGACTGCATCATTTCCAAACAATAAATCAGAAGTTATGAAGCAGTACTGTGCCTTTGTTTTCCTAGTTTGAAGATGTTTCGCCTTCCATCCATCCAGCTTTTTCAATTCAAAATGTCAGAATTAGCATTGAGTTCAAAAGTTTATAGAGTAGCCCAACAAAGCCTTGTTTTGGCTTAGAAAACATGCAAATTGAACCAAAAAAAGAGGTTAGCTCCTTAGGAATGGGGAGTCAATGGAGGTCTTTGTCAGTCTGCAATACTTGATACTGGTCTATGTCTCTGAAAAGTGGGAGGCAGTACTTTGAGCAAATAGATGGTACTTGAGTAGCCTTTTTTAATAAAATATTTATTTTCATTTATTAATTTTTTTCCCTTCTTGGGTAATTTCTCCAACAACTTTGTTTTACTTTTACTAATGTAAAGTATTTACTAAAGTTAGTGGCTCTGTACTTGTTGACAGTGTAATGACAATAAAAAGCTGGGGAAAAAAATTATAAGAGCAGAACATTACTTATAACTGTGAATGTTCCAGTGATGTTAAAATTCAAAACAAATGCAGAAACGTGTTTTAGGTGTAATTGTTTAGATAAGAATAAGTAGAGAACCCCAATTTTAGTAATATGTAAGGTTCAGGGTACATTTGTCGGTGCCATAAAACTGCCCTCTGAACGCCCCTATGCTGGTGCTTCTGTTTGCTTGTATGATTTAACACGCACTCTACACATGCATGATGCATCTCTGCACTCATGTTAGGGTCTGTTCCCGCCACAGTTTTATTAATGATGCTGAGAAACATCCATGCTGCTACAGTGACAACAGCACCAGCATTGTGCCCTGTGTATGTGAGGTATCCAGCCAGGCCAGCTGCATGACTGATGGTGGTCCCATCGATTGCTCTCAGTCTTTAGGGCTTCCAGCCAAGTTTGGGCCCCTGGCCAAGAGCAGCTTGGCCCGGCTAATCTGTCACCAGGCTGGCTGGAGCAGCCTTCATAAGCTCCATCGACCCACAAAGCTTACACACTCTGGTCTAAAGCCTGTCCTCCCCACCCTCACTGTCCATTAGTCTTGGTGCTTTAATCTTCCTCTATCTGTGTGTCTCCGTGTCAGCTAGTCAGGGATTGATTCATTATGGGTGTCGAAGGATTTGAGTTTATGGTGTTCATGTGTAAGTGCTACACTCTGAATCCTAATTACAGAGGGACCAATTGGTAAAGATGTACAGAGCCTTGCAGAAGTATTTAATGATACTGGTTTACATTTTTTTATGGTACCACAACAAACTTTAGTGTTTTTTTATGGGGCTTAGGTAATAGGCCTGAACAAACTACAGTAGCAGTTTACTGTTAAGTCGGAGGAATATTATACCCAGTTTTTAAAAATGTTAACAAATAAATGGTATGAAAACTGTGGCATGGATTTGTTTTAATTATATTGATAGAATATTTCTATAATACTGAAAGTTTTTTCCCCATTCCTTTTCTAAATACCTCAACTCTGGAGTTGGCGAGAATGTCTATGAAAAAGGGTTGTCAAGGTAACTACAAATTCCCCGCAGTATTTAGGTGATGACTGGGCATTAACCAATAACAAATCCAAATGCAGTATACTTACATTAGAAAAAAGGTTATAGTTACACACTATTAAGACTACAGAGCATAGAGTGCATTATTATTAAAAGTCTGAATAAAAAAAGAACAACTGATGAAAAGAATAGTTTAATGGTTGCTGAATTTTGGTCTAATCTGCAGCATAATCTCTATAGTTAAATTTAACTTTATCGCTGAGATCTGTTTTTAGATCACAGGTGTCATACCAAAATTTCACACCCTTGCAGTCTTTAGTTTGACTTTAGTATGCCCTTTCATACTTATTATTTTGCAAGTAACACAATGAAGCTATATTTATATGAAGTTTTAATGTCATATAGGTATTATGTTTTAAAAGCTGAGACAAATCGGTATATCGCCTAACAATAATATTTTCCTCTTTTTTTTAAACTGGTGTAATGTTTCAGGCTGGGAGTTTTTATTTTGTTTCAGATTCAAAAGAGGTGCTTAACAGGAAGTTTGTATAACAAATTTAATATGCACAAAGAAGTAATAAAAATGTATGTATGTATGGTACCAAACTGTCCACCTGTTTAACATAGGTCTTGTTTGGCTGATGGTGTTTTTTCATTAATGCCTTAAGCTAAAGGTAGCTTCTTCACTTCAAGACACCATAAACTTTACCCTGAGTGTACCCAGTAATGATTAGTGATGCTTCCCTGCAGATGTGGCATCATAACAGAGGTCCTGCCTCATATGGCTGCCACTGTCTGAAATCACATCCCATTGTAGAGCAACGTCAATTTAATAAAAAAAAAAAAATGGATTCCAAATGGACATTAAATGTTTTCATAATTCATAGGATTTTTTTTGACCCCTAATAAATCTTTCATCAAATCCATCCTTCATAAAATAATTTGTATAATTTGTTGCTGCTGCTACTATGTATCTACTCTTTGGCCACACCATAGAGTTGAATTTTAATTTTCTCTGTTGATCAGAACACCCAGAAGAAGCAGAAAAAAGGAGAATTACATTTGACGATCTGAAGACCTAATTTATGACAATTTGATTTTGGTTAAAAGCTAAAACTTCCCTAAAACTGGTTTATATCCACACACCGTTATTAAGTAAAGCCTACAATACTGCTTCACTAACAGTTATCATGCACAAACATGTCACTTCTGCTCTGTTCAAACCTAACCTTGCTGCATTATCAACCATCCTGGCATCCTGCTGTGATCCTTTAAAGATCTGAACACAAACACTGCAAAACATTACAAATTCTGCTTAACATTGCTGGTTTTAGATTGTGTTTGCAGACAAAAATTTTTTTTTAATTAAATTAACATTAGAATTAGGGCTGGTGGAGGAAAAGCTATATTATTATTTATGTATTAAAGACGATGAAAAGGTGATTCATGTGTCCCTAACCTCTTTTTTTAAAGTATTGTAATGCCTTAAATATTTACGACAGTAACCAATACATACATAACCAACAAATTCACACACCGTGTGTCTTTTTAGAGGTCCTATGAAGCATATGAATGAACCCTTTTTTTTTTTTTTTTTTTGCTCAAGACTTTGATTAAAGCTGAAATGAGGCTCAGAAATATGTTATTGCTCTTGGTGGTATTTTTCTGCTTTATTTGTTCATTGTCTTTTGTTGTTGTTTACACAGTGTAACTGTTCATTTTGACTGAATTATAAATCAGTTTTGTCAGCTGCTGTAAATATATAATATGATGCATGAAAAGTGTCAACATTGCCAATGATAAACTGGAAGATGTCTAAAAAAAAAGTGAGAGATTCAACCAGTGAGAAAATTTATCCTCCTTCTATGATGTAGTTTACTTTGAGTTCAGGGTTGAAACCAAAAGTTCTCTTTTTTTTGGAGCAGTTGATTTCTACTCATTTTTATGCGGTAAAGGCAGGGGAATACCTACTTCCAGGAGACCATCCGGACTCCCAGATATTAAACCTTTTGTTGACATTTGACAAAAGCACCTTCTTACATATTTCACATGGGTTTAAGTTGCTTCAGCTCCTTTAGAGTTACCTTTGGCCTCCTTACTGCTAATGAACTCTCCTTTCATATCATCAGGTGAATGAGCACATGTTGAAAGATGTGTAGCTGCAATCGTTTAGATCCTGGCTTTAACCTGTTTTTTTCTACTCTTTCTTCTTATTGAGTCCTTGTTTAGCACCGCTTCTTAACAAGCATCTGGCATCTTAAGATCACAGCTCTATTTACATCACCATGAAAAGACTAATGTGTGGACTGTTCACCTGTCAGATTGCTCATGATCAAGGACTCCCTTTGATTCAGTTATAAGACTGAAGGGCTCTAAATACACACTTTTTTAGCTTCTTATTTGTAAAATCAAAGGGTAAAAATATTCTCTTCAACCTAAAATATACGGTATGCTAATTTTGAAACTCCCAAACTGTAGAAGGAATTTGGGAGTTTTTTTCAACCAAAAGCAATGAATTTCTTGAAAAAATAATAAAAGTGTTGTATTTTCTTTGTGCACAGCACTGTGCCGGAGGATGGGGCAGAGATCTTTCTGAGTCCTGCAGTCACCTATGGTCCTCCAGGCCTCGACCTGTCCTGCCCAATAGCCATGACCATAGCACATTGTGCCGAGGTCGCTGCTGATAACTGGAACATCAGGTTAAAGAGACAAATCCAGGACAGGTGGGAGGTGAGTCAACCCTTTTTAACTTCTCCTTGAGTACACAACTGATTTCATTTCAATACTAAAAATTGTTGTGTATAAATCTACAAAAGATATTTCAGTTTGGCCAGATTTTAAAATATCCTCAGTGGAGAGTGTTAAGTCTCGTCTCAAGACCCACTTTTACTCTTTGGCTTTTCACACTGCATAACTGTGTCTGTGTCCTTTTATTTATTCATTTTAAGCTCTTCCTGCTTTTTTTGTGTGTATTGTTTTTTTTTGTTTGTTTTTTTTTTATGTAAAGCACATTGGAATGTGCTATATAAATAAAGTGGTTTGGATTGGATATTGTTTTTGAGTCTTTAAATAAAACTATTAACATTCAAAATTATTTTCAAATCAGATAGTATTGATAGCTTTTATTTAAAAATAGGGCTCTAACAATTACGGATTAATCGGGATTAAACGATTATTGAAATAATCATCAACTAATTGAGTAATCATGCCTTTAGCTGACAGAGCAACCCACTAAGAGCAGTAATTATAATAAGATTAAGAAAAAAATCTATAAATATTTAGCATTTAAGATTAAAAAAAATGTAGCTGTCATTATGCTCCATCCAGAAAACCTCAAGTGGAAAAGTTTGTTTTGTTCTTAAGGAACATTTGGCTATCTGATTATTAATTGATTAATCCAAAAAAGAATCAACAGATTAATCAGTTTGCAAAATAATCGTTAGTTGCAGCCCTAGTTAAGAACAACAAATGGAAAAAAATGCATCCATACTTGTGAACCTGAAATGAATTTCACTGCTCCAGTGTAATCATTCTTCAATTAGTAAGTAACCAATGCAAAAAAAGAAATGTTTTTGCATTTTTCAATCAAATGATAAACAATATGTATGAAAATATAAATTTAAACTATGTATGTTGATTACAATGTTAATTCCATCCTTGATGGATTGAGGAATTATAAGACGGGGTTCAAATTAAATTTGCCAACAGAATTAAACATCTAAAACACTAAATCACACTTTTATCTATTAGCTGTCCGCTTGCAGCCAAAAATGGAGAAAAACGGCCAAGTGCACCTTTTAAAAGATGCAGGACCTCACTCCTCTAAATGCATTAGAGTGTTATTTCAGTGATTGCCTGTGTGACTTTCTTCTCACATCTAGCTCTTAATAAAATAACAGCTCTAAAAAAAGTCCTTCATCTCTGCCCTATAGAGTAAAGGAGCACTTAGACACCTGCTTTCATTCTATACGGCCGCTATTCTTCTACTCATGCTTTCTCTGTATGTGAGGTGCTCTTTTAATGTTTAAGTAACCTCATCAAAAGCCTTTAGAGACCTCATCAGGTCACAGCAACCTAACAGACAGTTTTTCCCTGAACTGTGTGTGTGGGGGGCTGTGACTTTTCTTACCTGTCCTTTCACTCTGTGTGACATTTGCACAGATGTAATTTTCCTGAAGATGTGTTGCACAAAAGGAAGCTATCAAAATAGCCATCTCTGATGGGTGCTATAGGCTGACATAGAATAGGGAGAGGTGTGACACAGACAGGAAGATGGAGGTTAAGACAGGGTATATATTCTCCAAATGTAATGCTGTGGCCCATCTCTGTCACAGAGAATTAATGAGCCCTTTATCTCAGGAACGGTGCTCAGTCAAATCCTAATCTCTAAATTAGCGATATAATGAGAGATGAAGGTCTCTTTCCCACTCTGTCCTCTCTTTCCTTTACCCTCACTCTTCTCTTTCACCCTGTCTGCCTCTAAGCGCCATTCCCATTTAAGCTTTCGCTTCTTTCCACTTTTTTGAGTCTATCATTTCTCCCCCAGACGCCTGGTGGGGATGAGCTATATCATAGATATCCGTCATGTATGCTGCATCACTAATGGGGCCTGGGTGAAGAAGCTGTAGGCCACCAAATTACTCTCCTTTGCTTTATATGGCACAGTCAGGCCATATGCGGAGGGGGCTGCTGGGTCGCAGGTATGTTAAGAGGTGATTCAGGGAGAATTTAGCACACGATGAGGAGCAATTGGCCATTAGATACAGCTGCCCCCTGCTAATCCGTTTTGTCAGTGTTACCAGCTCCCCATCTGTTTAGAGAGATGTGTCATTATTCATTTGGCCTCTTTTTTTTTAGCTTTGTACAGCCCCTGATCCAAGGTTTCCTGGGAGGTTTATAGGGTGTGATCTGCAAATTACACCAATGATTATGGAATTATAAACTTGGTTTACAACAAAGACGGTAGAATACACTGTCAGAAAATATACTGATGGAAACAGTATGGCTTGCAAGAGTGTTTACATGTTACAATTACAATCCTCGATGTATTTTGCTGGATATGTATGCAAAGAGCAACACAAGTCAACTGGTAAGAAGCATAATAAAAGGAAAGTTTTCTATTAAAAGCTTAACTCTACTCCATAGACATGCATGTATATATGCAGCCTTCCATGGTCAATCATTTGTAGAACTAGTTTCCACATCTGAAATTCTTTTAATGTCCCTTAAAATAAACGGAATATAGGTGTAAACTGTTAAGGCTGGCAATTACACAAGCCTGAATATTTTTTATTTTTTGTTAAATGTAAAAACATTTTCCTCTGAAAGACGTGTTTTTGGTCAACTTTGAAACTAAAGTATGTGACCTCCAATGTCTCTGACCCTAATTATAAATTAAAGGATTGGTGATCTTAAAAAACACAGCTCCACTGAATATCTTGCTTAGGACTCTTATACAAATACTATAACCATGTATAATAATTATTTTTATTATTACTACCATTATTATTATTATGGCTTTTTCTAAATCTAAAATATCCTCTTCTAGAGTACAGACCCAGATAAGATATGTGCTATACCCTTTACAGTACTGCTGTTTTCTGACAGATTAGACCTAATTATTATTTTTATTTTGTTTGTTTGTTTTTTCTCTTTGTTTTTCTCTGTTCCTCTTTGTAATACTATTTCCCTGTTAATCTGTGTTTAAGGCAATAAAGCTAAAAAAAAAGAAAAGAAAAAAAGAAACACAGCTGTATTAAAAGAGTAATTTTGACTCTTTTTAGAGAGGACCCACTAGGGGTCGTCCTACATTATGATGCTGCCACCACTTTGCCTCATAAAGAGATAATGTGTTCAGATCATTAGCTTTCTGCAACATACAAAGATATGTGCTTTTGCCTAAAAGTCCAAGTCTAAACACAAATGCTAGATATTTTTTTTTCTCTGATTTTTATCTGCCAATAATTTAAAGACTAGTTCGATATTTTTTATGTTAATATTGCAGTTATAGGCTACTTTGTGTCATTCAATCATAAAATAAAATAAAATACTCTTTCAAGATTGGGTTTGTAATGTTACTATATATAAAATACATAAATTACAAATATATATATATAAATATGTTCTATTAATTTAAACATCATAAAAAAGGAAGTATTAACTTTAAAACATTATTTCTGTTATGCAGCTGTACCAAGTTATCTCTTCTGTTTCTCTACATCCATAGGAAGTGATGTCGGTGGATGAGGAGAGCACATCCTGCTACTGTCTGCTCGAGGCCCAGAGGTGCCACTTGCTGTTGGAGCAGCCGGGTCGTTACGCTCTGATGGGGGAGGCGCTGAACCAGGAGGCAGCCAAGCGACTCAGGCTTGCCGTCTTTGGCAGTCCAGATCCAAGTAACTCCCTGGGTTTCTGTCTCAGGGTGTACTGCGTGGACGACACTCCCTATGCTTTTCAGGTATCAGGGAAGAAATATAATATATACCACTATACTAATCCAGTACTGATTTACGTACATATTTGTTAAGAATATAGAATTTGTTTCAGATTTTCTACAATTTGACATAGTCAGTAACTGAATAAGTTAAACAAAAGACAAATCCAACTTTAACAGATCAGTAAATTTCTGCTTGGAACTTATCCATCTTGTTTTTTTTGTAAAGAACAGGCTTTTTTTTATATATTAAAAAAGGCTTTTTTTGCTTTTTTTTCTCCTTCATATTATAAGGTGTGCTCAGGTTAAAACTAATGAATTGATTTTCAAAGGTCATCACCCATTTTTTCTTAAAGTAAACCCAAACTCCAATATGAATTAGTCACACACCAATTAGCAATCATCACAGCAGATGTGTAACCTGGCTTTAGCAGCTTATTTACAGCTGTTAAATTATCTCCTGCTTTCTGTGGTCTCATAATTGTGTTAGAATTTGGCTGAATTCATCATAAAGCCAATCTTATTATATTATTCTGCTTCTCTTCAGGAAGTAAGATTGGGCTTACATTTTAGATTTTAAATGCGATCACTAAAGACTGCAGAGTTGGTGTGCCGTATTGATACTTTTAACCTTTTTCAGCTCATCACCCAACATAATCATCATTAACCTCAATAAAAAGCACTTACCCTGTTATTGAACCTATGCTTACCTGTTGGATGGTTGTAAGAAAATGCTAAAGGTGAAGAAATGTTTTAGGCTGTGCTATTTTTCTCTGCTCCTCTCTATTATACCTACAAACTCAGCTGGAATCGCTCCCTGCCTGTTATAGGGACTTGCAAAACAACACCATAGTATCGGCCTGTTCCTCAAAGATTACAAATTAGAGGCGCTAAATGCTAAATGCATGCATATTTTTTTTACATGTGCAATAAGCGAGCATGTTGCGGGTGACCTATAAATATTGTTGCGTAAATTTTAAGACGTGCAAACCAATTTGGTTCTGCCCATGAAAATGAGCAGATTACGTGTTCGATTGAAAAGAGTCGGCCTTCCACACACACACTCATGTCTCTTTGCAGACTCTTTTAATATTCTATTTCTTTTATAAACAGGCAACAACTATTTTAAAGTTCAGTCATTGTTTTCAGATTTGGTTTAATTGTTTACTGTCTACCAACCTGCTGCATTTGTTTCTGCCAGCTTCTGCGTAGATTTTATTTCTTTGTCAATGTTAGTCTACTATTGTCAAAATTATTTTTGCACATGTACCAAATATCTCTGAATCCGCTAGATTTGTATTAATGCAACAATCACTGCAGATATTTTTGCATATCAGTTCGCTCCTCACTTCCTGAATGACTGATAAAACATGCAAAAACTGCGACCAAAAATTCATTTCTGATTTGGATAATGGCTTTGCACATGGCTTTGGCGTTTGGCTATTAGAATGCGATCTTGCATATTAATGAAAGTAAACACACAAAAAAGATTTTCATACGCTGTCTGTTGAACTGCAACCGCAAATCACTATTTATGTTCTTTGAAGATCTGCTTTGGACATACAATCACATTTGCACCAGTTTTAAGACAAGCAAAGCCTCTGAAGATCAGGCCATAAGAGCATTAGACTTTGACTTCATTAATTTAGTTTACAGCAATGAAGAAGGTATACATGGTCATTAACATGACATAGCAAATACAAATATTTGTTTGCATACAGCCAAATCTGTCTCTGCAACCACACACACAGTAATAACAGGTTTAAAGATTAAAACTTATAGACCCATATTCCTGGTGACACCATCCAGCTTATTCTAGAGAAATATGAGTTATTCCAAGGCCTGAAGAAACATACTCTCCCTCCAGAAAGTCTGGATTTGCCCCATAACCAATTTGGAAAACATGACCCAAAACAAATATTAAATACCAGAGAAATCATGCCAAAAGCTGCTCAGCACTTAAAAAGGGTTTTTAAAAACTGAATCCAGGAAGTGTTTTTCCTTTGATCATTGAAGAGGTTATGAATAATTTTAATGCAGTATTTCTTTTTTTTAGGTAAAGGGATTTTTTTTTCTACTATTGATGCCAATTGATATCACTTGTGCATGTTATTGTGTTTTAAGAGAATATTGTCCTATTTTCTTTTAGAAATAAAGCTCTTGTTATAAGAGATGTAGGAAATATTAACAGGAATATTTTGGCAAATTAGGTAGCAAATATCCTGCAAATATTTAAAAATGTCAAAGAATCTGCAGCAGCTGCCTGCCTTAACGGCAAAGCTGGGCTATGATTTACCTTAGGCTGTATATTGTTTTAAATCTCCGAAATGCAGAGGGATATGCAGTATGTGGCAGTAGTATAAGGAGCTGAACAAGAGATTATATCTGGCCTTGACAAAAATAGTTTCTTGTTTGCTAGAAAGGATGGAAATCTTACAAGAAGCAGCAAGAAGCAAGAAGTATCTATGCTAAAAAAGGAAATCTCTAAATAAAAAGCAGATGCTTTTATTGGTAACTATGTGCAGGTGAGTAAAAAAAAAACAACAACAAAAACAAGCTATAGGTATGAAACAGGCTCTGCAGAGTAAAGTCTCAACTCTTGCAATCAAACATTCATAAAAAAATTACTTTACAAGGTTAACAAGCCTTTAGCAGACAGAGCAGTAAACAGATGTAAACAGAGTGGGCATCTCCAGGGTTAAGTTATAAAATCCCCAAAACATTTTATTACACTGCTTCATACAAATATTAAAGCATTTCCTATCCAAGCTAAAAATATTAACCTTGAGCCTGTGCTCAGAGGAGCCCTTAACGCACCATGAATTTCACATATGTGCACAAATACCCCTGAAAACAACCAGTATTGGTTTGTGTCTGAGCCACATTGACCTGCTTTCATGTCACCACATTCCTTCTATGAGTGAACGTATAGCTTCTCTAAATATTTACAATGTACAATGTGAGTTTGACTAATGATTTGATGGTTTCGGCCATGTTTCTGGTGACTTGCTAGAAGAAGTGCAGCCTAAATGTGTATCCATCCATTGAAGATCCACTTGTTTAGTAACATTGCCACTGGGAGATGCTTGATGACGAGGAGACAAAGAAGGACTTTTAATTACAAAGACAACAGATGCTCCAGGGTGGCTTCTCTGCCCTTTATATGCGTAGTTTAATTTGCTCTCTGTTAATTAAATGTGTTTCCGTGACAAATTCCATGTGTAAAGAACTTGAACACATTAAAATGAGGCACAGTCTGACATGGAGCAGCAGTTCATCGCTGCATTCTTTAGAGGAGAAATGTGAAAACATAGTTCTTCTTCTTCTGCTACACAAGAAACACAAAGAGCTTTTTCTAGATACAATTCTTTTAAGTCAGAAAGAAGTGTAGCAGTCGTCCTTTGAAAAAGTCCTGTTAGTTTTTTCTAGCTTCCTCATTTTCTACATCAGTATTGGCTTCATTTGAGTGAAAAAATTGCTAGTCCTCAATGAGTAACTGGATGTAAGTGCTGGGAGTCAACTCACTCTACTTCTCCATCACTGACACGTGGTTATTTGCTTTGTTTTGTTTTTTTTGTTTCTTTTTTTTGCTTCCCTGATTTTGTTTTCCTTTGTCCTTAATGCAATAATTTCCCCTGTGAGCTTGGAAATCGATAGTTAGCCTGCACATTTAGCATAGTCCTCTTTTTCCCCCCAGAATTTCCTGCAAAGTACACTTCACTGCTTCATTCTCCATGCGTGAAAAAATCATATGGACATTAACTAAAGTTAAACTTGTTTGTTGAACCATTTTCCTTCTGTGTTAAAACACAGACTGTTCCATATAAAGCATATACATGTGTGTTTTAGTTCATTTGAAACAGAGGTGTCAAATAAGAAAGTACAAGTAATTCATTACCTTACTTAAGTAGTTACTATACTTTACTGGAGTAGTTATTTTTCAGACAACTTTTTACTTTCTGCTCCTTACATTTTAAAAACAGACTCGTTAGTTTTGTTCATTTAAGTTCATTTTTGTTATGGCCTGTTGATATTTAAAGAAAAAAAATCAATTATAGTTTGACTCAGTGCTGCACCAATTTGTTGTTCGCCACATACTAAAATAAATAGTTTTTAAAGATTATGCAAAGTCATATTTGACATCATCAGTTAAAACTAAGAAAATTAAGTATAAGGAAATTATTATCAAGATTTGTGGGGAAAAAATCCTTTAATAAGGTAGTGCAGTAACCAGTATAAGAATTAAAGCATCTGTCCTTAACATTTTTCTTGCGTTGCTTTTTCTTTTATACTTTAGGTAGTTTTAAAATAGTACTTTTACACTTTTACTTGAGTAAAAAGCCTAATTTGATACTATAACTTCTACAAAGGTGTTTTTAAACAGTAGGATTTATACTTCTGCTTGAGTAATAAACATTATTACTTTTGACACCTCTGATTCGGAGTACGTTTCATATGATAAAACCCACTAACTGAATGACTGAGTACGAAATCACATCATTCATCATAAAAACTGTCAGGATGCCTTTCTTCTGTGCTGCTTTTTCCTCCAGCTCATACATCCAGCCCAAATCTGCACTATAGGTAGATTTAGGTAAATAAAATAATATTATTCTCTTATGTGACTTAAGTACCTGAAGCATCAGAAACTGGATATATTTAAATTGGTTTTAATTACATTTTAAACAATAAAGCTCCATTTAAAGTGTAACTGAAAAATTCATAAAATAATATTAGAGTTCATTGGTTTGATATCTATATACTGGTTTAAATTAAATGGTTAATGGCTCTCAGGAGACTTGACTAAAGCTCTTTACACTACATTCAGTCATTCACCCACACACTCACACACTGATGGGGGCAAACTACATTGTAGCCACAGCTGCCCTGGGGCTCACTGACAGAAGCGGGGCTGCCGTACACTGGCGCCACCGGTCCCTCTGACCACCATCAGTAGACAATGCAGGCGAAGTGTCTTGCCCAAGGACATAACGACATTGAAAGCCAGAGCTCAAACCGACAACCCTATGATTGCAGGGCAAACTCCTGCACAAGACACCACTGCCACATAGCATTTATATTAAAGATCTCACAAAGTAAAATGGTCAAGGAATTACAATTTATTAAGACATTCAGACCATTTCATCCAGCTAATTTATAACTTGTAAAATTTTGCGAAAATTTAAATTAACTGAATCAAGAACTATGACTTTTGACATTTTGTGTACACAGAGTGTATAAAAAAGGGAAATTTTGTTTATTACAGCTTTCCAGTCAGTAAATGAACATTTCCATACCATAAAGTGAGGCAGTGATCAAATGTATATAGTGTGGGAGAAAAAACATGGTGCAAAAAAAAAAAGGAAGTTTAGAGCATTAATATATGTATATGGTGCAAATATGCAGTGTTTTGGGTTGGTGTTGCTGAACTGTTTTTCAACAGTTGCAGGATCCTTGGACCTGCATCGAATGCTGCCAAGCCTCTTCCCAGAGGGCAGCAGGGAGAACAGTGCATGGTGGGGATGTGAGGGGTCATTAATAATGTTACAGGCTCGGGCAGGCAGCGCCATGATGAAATGTCTTTTATGGAGGGAAGAGGAGCCCTATGATCCTTTCTGCAGTTCTCACTACTCTTCTCACTTTGTTCCAGTCTGAGGCGCTGCAGCCTCCACACCACACAGTGAGGCAGCTGGTCAGAACTCTCTCTATGGTGCTTCTGTAGAAGGTGGTGAGGATGGGTGGGGGCAGGTGGGCTCTCATCCTCTGCAGGAAGAACAGGCAGATAGGAACTTAAATTAAAACAAGGAATGCAAATCTGAACCAGATTTGTTCAAATCAAAATAATGCACAACCCTTTTTACAGTTATAGTATTCTATTTAACTATTTAGCCATTTTAGGCAGAATTAACCATCCAAATGTTAAAACGAACAGTTGTGAATACCATAAGTTCAAGTATTCATCAATAAACAGACTGAGACTGTGAAAAATAAGGCATGTTAAATCAGTGAAGATGTTGAGACAAGTGGAGTAAATGCTAAATAATCAGGGTGACATTCTTCCTTTAAATATTCTTTCTCTAAAACATAAATATAACCCCTAACTGAAAAAAGGAACAACAACAACCAGTATTTAATTTGATGTTAAACCTTGATGTCACAGACAGCCTGCCTGTCAGATGATGTCAGTTTGAATAGAGTACTCACATATCTCACATACCTCATCTGGTTTCAGCCCTTGCTGTCAACCTCTGAAGAGGTTATGAGGATCTATCTGCCAAACATTTTCCACATGCAGAAAGGCTCAGCCAGCCAGCTGCTCCAGTCCTCGAGGGCTGGTGTCCTGCCGCTTTTAGAAGAATCCCTGATCCAACACGCTTGAACCAAAAAGCTAAAATACCTCATCTACATGTTGTTAAGATCCACAGTCCTGCTAAATAAAAAAAATAATCCATTTAGATGATGAGGTAGAGACATTATCTAAAAGTTGGACGCCAGGCCTTGAGAACTTGAGTTTATCAGCTGTGTTTAAAGTCAATGAGTTTATTAGATAGCTTAAAGATTCTGGGAGTTTAATGAAATTATCTATATTATCTCTGATCTACTGACTGAAAACTTACTAGAAAATGAGCGATGGCCATGTTTGTCTATTGTTAGTTCAGTCTAATTCATCTTTGCCCACTTCTAGCTGGTTAAATAAGTCTCCTAGATCACTTCCAAAATTCTTGCTGACTTTATGTCATTATGCTGGGCTGTTAGTTTAGCACTGGCGTCTACCTACAGGATGGGAGATGAGTCATCTTCATTCCTTAGAAGATTTAGAAGTTAAAGCATCAGGAAGCTTTAAAGTACAGCTTAATCAAAAGTAGGGCAGAGAGGATGGAAACCCACACCTGCAGTATGCTGTTTAACTTAAATAAGCATTATATCCATATAAATATACTACCTGACAGTAGATCAGGAGCAGATTTTAGAAAATGCCTTTGAGTCAGGTACATATTGATAATCAAGCATTTGGAAAGCTGCATGAAAATAACAAAATACATTAAGAACTGTAACTCCTATAAAGAAGGGGAAAGGTTGTAAAATTAGTACAAATAAATTGCTATACTGCGTGCACCAGGATATAAGCATAATGCATTGCTTTGATTGCTGTTTGAAACGTTATTGGAGATAATTTTATGCACTAATACGTAGTTTTTTTTATATAATCGCTCATGCAGCAAAAAGTTTGTAGCAAACAGCTAGTGTTAATTATTAGTAGTTAGCTATTATTTTTAATAAATGACCAAAGTAGCTTTCAGTATTGATTCTCTCTTCTACAGTAAAGGTGTTTAATGTAGACCACCCTTTATTCATACTGTACTAAAAGTCGCTGCCTTTATTTAAATAAATTATTTGAGGTATCTTTTGTACCTGTTGAGAAATCTTGATATAGAACTCAAAAAGAAGAAAATGAAGCATTGGGGGTTTGTTTGAGTTAATTTTGCCTTTTGCTCTTAATTTGCTAACATCACCTGCAGGTTTGTCCATTGTTCTCCTCTCTCTGTGGCCTCCTTTGTTCTCTGTCAGATTATTGTGTCCTCCTTTGGTTGTAATCCTGGGAAGCTTTTAATTACTCTCAACCGCTCTGTCTTTGTTGTTTTTTTGTGATTGTCTGCCATAGAAGAAGCTTTGTTTTTCTCTTCTAAAGACAAACTGCCTCAGCTTCCGTCCACCTGCCTCTAAGCCGGCATTTGGTTATTTCTTCTTGTAGTAGACCTGTTTCACTGCAGCCATTTTGACTGGAAAGAGAGTGGCTACTTTTTACTCGCCTGTTTCTTTACATTTATGTTTTAACATGTAATTGTGAAGTTATGTAAAAAACTTTTTACATGTTTTTGTTCGCTCCTGACATTTTTTTATCAAGTTTTTTATATATATATATATATTTATGATTAAACAATACAAACACCTGTACATACATACATGCATATATAGGTGCAATTAAAGAAATAATTCAACTTTTTTATACTGTTATTTTTCTCTTTCGTGCTTTCTGCCGATTTTTCCCAGCCACCCATAAGAAATTAAATAACAAGCTTAATTGTTATAATCATGTTCACCTTTATTACTTGCAAGCTATTTAAAGTTAATCTGATTTTCAGCACATAACCACCTTAATTGTTATGAGAAATAAGGTTACCCCTGATTCATCTGTTCGGTTCAGAGTAATAAAGCATTATTTTTCATCTCAAACATCTTTCCTTCAAAAGATTGTTTTTTTATGAGAAAATATAACTAGCTGCATCTCAGTCAAGAGGTGAATGTTCAACCCACTCAGTTCACCAAGATGTTAAAATTGATGGTAGGTGCATTAGTGTCAAAAATATACTTATGTAGCTAAAGGGTAGCTGAGCTGTCTTTTTTTATATTAACTATAGCTACTGTTTAAAACAAATCTAAACAAGTTTGTTAGTCATTAGCAAAGGGTTTTGATTGACAGGAAAACATTTGCATGAAAAGCTTGAGTTTTTACTTGATGTAAACACAGTTAATGTCAAGACTAAAGGATTCAGCTCTTAAACTCTTTCCACTATTTCCAGTCAGGGATCAGTCTCCAAAATAAATGTTTTATTTTATTTTTTTTACTATATTTAGATTTCTGGAATCTCCCATATATTTTACTATATAACTGCAAACAGGACTTATTATGGATATCGCTTCTCCTGCTTCTCTTCTATAAAGGCCAGATTTGTTCACCGAGGCTTTAGATCTCTGCAGGATGTCCAGAGTTACGATGGGCTTCTTGGCTGCTTCTCTGATTAAAGCCTTTTTTTTGCCCCGCCTGTCAGTTTAGTGCGCAGCCATGACTTGATAGCTTTTCAGTTGTGCGATACTCTTTGTGTTTTGATACCACTCTGTGGTGTTCAAAGCTTAACAATCGACATCTCCTAATGTTTCCTAATAAAACCTGCACAAAAGTGGTACATTTATACTGATATGAAGTTAGACAGAAGTCAAGTTTTGAATCACTTGCTGACCTCCGATAGAAAATTGCAATGCTGGATGGATTTATGGGGTTTCAGAGTATAAAAGACTAATTATCGACACGGGCTACGTTTGTTATAGTTCTAAAATAAATGGAAAGCGTGCATAATTTCCTTCTGCTTCACAACATCCACTACTTTGTCTTTGTCTTTCATATAAAACCTTAATAAAACACATTGAAGTATTTATTTGTAATGTGGAATTTTAAAGTGGTTTAAAAACTTTGGCAACTTTTGCAAGTGGATGTTTACACTTTTACCTTTCTATTTCCCTCTGTCTCCCTCAGTTTGTGCCCCAAAGACAAAAACCTGTTTGATTCTCTTTTTCTTATCAGGAGGTAGTCGTAGGGGAGCGCAGAAGAGGTGGAAGGCTCCTTGAAGAACCTAAAAGGATGCTGTTTAAGGGAAACACTTTCAGCCTCCAGGTGTCCATCCAGGACGTCCCACGGTTACTGTGGAGCATCAAGCCTTTTACCACCTGCCAGGTTAGATGCTTTTCTGTCCTGTGCCGGTTGGTAGAAGCAGCATGAATGTTTGCAATGACTTAATCAGTGTATATACCCAGCTTTGAAGTGGTCTGGTGCTTAAAAAGAAACGTCTCACCCTCTCTTTCTTTACTCCCTTAACTTCATCGGCAGCTTCACTCTTCCATCAGTCTCCCCTTTTCTTGCCTGGTCACATCAAAGCTAAAGGGCAGCAGCTAGGGCGCAGTAGGAGGCAGGCTATCTCACCCACACATGTACCATTACAAACTTAATTATGACTACCATGGAGAATAACACACACTTACACACACATACTGAAATATATCATAGTCATCTTCCTAGGGGTCTTCATGCTGCATGTTCTGTTCTGCCCTGTGATGTTTATCCCACCAGCGACATCTTATTAGCAGAGTTAGCCCACCATAGCACCTTCAGAATACCAACAAGGATCTCTAAAGAAAAATCTCCCAAGCAGATGGGTGCAGACCCTAATTCAGACATGACTGCCATCTAAAGCAGGCAGTTATAAGTGGATGTCCTTTCTGATGACTCTGAAGAGTAGATGATTCATCTGTACAACTGCGTTTTGACCTGTTCTCGCTGGAACACTGTCTGGGTCATGCGGTACTGAGTAATGGAAGCTGAAATGGGTGCTTCAGATTGCATATGCTCAGCAGATGTGGCTTTGGTTTCTAATGCTACAACATTTGAGGTGGAAATGCAGAGCAAACTGTGAGCGTTAAAGGATCTCTAGCCTAATTCTATAATCACGTCACTGATCCCTATCTAAAGATCGGCATTAAGCTACAAGCTTAGCAGCAGGACTGCAGAGAAGAGAGAACCAATAAGACAATAAGTCCTAAAACTAATGCAGCTCAGTAAAATAATGTAGAGTTTAGAGGATAGCCCAACACTAACTAGATCTGATTTTTGTGGACTTGGTTCTGTAAAACTATTAAAAGTAAAAGTAACATCTAAAACTACATATTTTTCTTCGTAAGGTGTTACAATTTAACATCTTATTTCATTTTATCCACATTTTCCAAAATACTTTTTTAATTATCCTGTTTTTAAGTTAAACAATATTCCGTAGTATAAATAGGTATAAATATTCCATGAAACAAAGCTTGATTTATGAAAAACCCAACTTCTGATTGAGAAAGCTGACAGAACATGACATTCAGGTCATGATGTGTATTTATATTCAGAAGTAAGGAAATAATGACAAGAAAAATAACTTCTTAACTACACATTCCCACATGGATGAGCACAGCATGATTAAAAATTCACATGACTGGGATTGTGACAAATCAGGCTAGTTTATTCTGCCACTATTCACTTCAGGCCAATTCTGAACAGGAGTAAAAGAAATAATAATTTTAATGAAAATGAAATGTTTCAGGTTCAAAACATTATTCCTTTTTTTATCTGTTTTTGACTACATCCTGTTGATTTTTTTGTCGTTCTATGACCAAAATGTTTTTACTTGTTGGGTTTGATGCATTTAATAATTAAGTAGAATACTTCTGGTGTTTTCTAAATTCAGACCAGAGCTGATTAAAAGAGCAATGATTGATTTTGATCATTATAAATTAATTAATTGGTGTCTATATGATACAGCAAAATCATGTTGATGAACTATAAGATAACTGTGTAAATTTACAGTCATCCATTGCAGCCACAATAAAGGCTTAAACCAGAAGCAACCAGACTTTCACTTTAGAAATGGTGACACCTATGTCATCTCATACTAGAGTGGTTCTGTTTTATTTTGTAAAATTAAGTAATGTATTTTAAGTATATAAGTGTAGAAATATATTTTGATAATATTAGTTTATTTTTAGTACTATATATTCTATCTCTTTAGAAAGGATTCAGAACCTGCTGATTTAAAACCTGGCTTTTCTCAAAAAAAGGTAGCTTCTCTAGTTACTGGATAAAATCCTAACCGTTGGCTTTCATTCTGATGGGTGAAGCTTTTTGACTTGTTATCCATTGATTGGATAACAAGGATGCTCGATGACTCCTAATTAAGCATGTAAGCATCAGAGGGGCAAAGCCAGAATGAAAAAAACAAATGTCTCCTGCCGAGTTTAATGAGTTCTCCTTCTGCCCAGCATAATCCTGTCATCACCATGCTCATCCTGTCCACCCTCCGTCTCCCCTGTTTCTACAGGAGTTCTCCTTTTCTCAGGTGTGGGCCAGTAACCGGAGTCCCCTGCAGTGTGCCTTCTCTTTGGAGCGATATAACCTCTCCCCATCTCAGCTTTCCTGCAAGATCAGCGTGCGGCAGGTCACAGGAGAGGAGCAGATACTCCAGATCTACACATCTGTTGTGGAGGTGATTGGCTCTCATACATGCAGTTTTCTAAACTAAACTGCTCCTTTGTTTGTGAGAGGGTTTAGTTTGATGCACCAGCTTCTCAGTTCAGCACTGACTCTTGACTAGGCTGCTTAACAGCATTTCCTTTATGGCTTCACTTCCTGTTGTGCTTTTATGATAAGGCTTAGGTAGACCATTTTGTGGCTGATGGGACTAACTTAGAAACTTGGTTACATAGCTTAAATATTTCTTATTAACTATAGTTATCTTTATCTGATTTTTGTGATTGATTGTGACTCAATAGCAAAATGAAGAAAGCTGTAAGGGAGAAAATACTTCACGGCACTTAACGTAGATGGGGATAGGATGTCATGGTGTGTGAGCATACACTGCGCCTTATTTCTTGATTTGATTCAACAGCTTGCTTAATGAGCCTCACACGGAGCTTTTTATTTCTGGATTGCAAATTGTCTCGACGAGCCTTTTGTCCTTCATTTTCTCTGTTTCCTTCTCTCTCTTGCTACTAGAATGAAAAAGGAGTGGCCCCCTTTTTCACTCAGTCCGACTGCACCATCACCTCTCAGACAGGGTCAAAGGCCTTCAAAATCCCCCCATCCATCCGTCAGCGGATCAGCGCCACCTTTGACACGGCTAATGCCAACGGGAAGGACTGGCAGCTGCTGGCTCAGAAGCTCCACATAGACAGGTCTGAATTAAAGCCGTTCGTTTGATTCTGACTTCTCAGCTTCCATTTACATACTGCCGAGTCATCTCCACATAAGCTGGCCATTTTGTTTAAAATGATGGCGCAATGAGCACAAAGTAAGGTCTCCTCCATAAGTGTAACTGCTGTTTTCATTTTTCAACAGCACATTTAAGCTGGAATTTAAGCAACGTGTCAGACTCTATCTTTCATCGCCCACCAGCCTTCAGTTACAAACCACTTTGCTGATTTCATTATAGATCTAAAACATGCACAGAGAGGGGCAGAGGGGGTGGGGGGGTGTTAAGGCCAACTTTAGCACAATTTGAAATACAGTAGCTGTGAAGCAGATGCGGTGCCTTGCAGAAATCTGAGGAAATGTCTCTGACTGCTGACAGCACAGCCCTCTGGCAATAAAATGTGTTCATGTTAGCGCTTCTCATTAGCAGCATCTATGCACACGCTCCATCTTTCCACTCCTGCTAAACACTCAGGAGCTCGTGTCAGGTCAGTGTTGTCGTGGGCGGGGGAGGATTTTATTTATTTGGGGATGCAGTGATCTCTGTTTGTGCTTCAGAGGAGAAGTCAATAATCAAGTGCTTATTGCCAGAACAACTCTTAGATCTTTGCAATCGGCTCGCCAACAACGACTACAGGCTTTGTTTTTGTTTTGTTTTTTTTCTTGTTGAAGTATATGAGAGAAAAAAGTTAACAGAGAAACTATGCACCTACTATGCAATTAGGGATCTTTGTCTAAACGAGTCTGAATAGAAACATCTGTAGCTGAGAAATAGGAACGGATTTCCGAGTTTTTACTGCAGAGTCAAATATGCCAAAAAGCATGTAATAAGAATGTCTCTACCTACTTAAGCTGATTTCTGCAATTATTTCTCTGAGTGTGTGGGAACATAATGATATAAGGAGGGTGAGCAAGTGGAAAAGGAAGGATCAAAGGAGACAAAGCAGCAAGATGAAATGCTATTGCGATGAAACAGTGCCCTCTGTTGGAAGGATTTGGAAAGAGAATAAAGAAACGACTTCAAGTCTTCATTTTTTTATGCAAAAAAATCTTTAAATTCAGTTTATTGCTCCTATTCTTACCTAAGTGGTTAGTCTGTTTGAATAATCTTTGCTAAATTATGATTTTGTAAAGTAAAAGGATAGCATGTGCAGGCATGTTTCAATCACATGTATCAGAAAATTAAACTGATAAAAACACATTTAACATGTAAATGGACTAATCTTGAATCTTTTTATTTTAGCAAAGATATATAATGTCATATAACATAATTTTATTTGTTTCAAAGATGTGATGTGAACATATAGTATTTCTTAAGGTTTTATATCAGCATGAAAAAAAATGTATATGCAGTGCATCCAGAAAATTTACACAGCACTTATGTAATGTTATGTTACAAACTATTCAAAAATAGTATTTTTTTTAACCTAACAATACAAATACAAACCCTATGATAATGTGGAAAAAAAAATATTTGTATGAAGTTGTTGAAAATGATCCCCAATAGAAAACCAAACAATCAAAGGACATGACTGGAAATCTGAGAGACAGGATTGTCTTGAAGCACAAATCTGGGAAGGATACAGAGACTTTGCTTCTTCTTTAAAGGTTCCAATGATTCTTCAATTATTCATAAATGGGAGAAGGTGAGCCACTACAACCATTCTTATAGTTGGCTGGTCGACTAAAGTAAGCAATGTCAGCAAGAGAGGTGACAAAGTACCTGATTCCTCTGAGGATAGAGGTAGATACACCAGGCCAGTATGGTAGGTTGGACAAGCAACAGCTAATCCTTCATACTAAGCACACCTGTCTCTAATTTACTAAAATGCTCCCGATAGACCCTCAGACCATGACAAACAAAGTTAATTGACTGTCTCATAAGACAGCGATGCAACCCTTTAAGGGGAATGTTAGACATCATGTTTAAGGAAACCCGGTGCTGCTTATCACCAGGTGAAGCATGGTGGGGCCAGCATCAGGCTATGGGGATGTTTTTCAGCAGCAAGGGCTAGCAGAATATTCAGAATTCAGGAAAATGTGAATGCAGAAATGCACAGAGATATTTTGGTTGGAAACCTGTTCCAGAGCACAAAAGATCTCAGTCTGGAAGGAAACCCCAAAGGCTACAGCTGACATCTAAAAGGAGAGGATCAGAACCACTCTAGGAAGGTCCTGGAGTTTTAAAGCCCCACTATAGACTTAAAGCTATTAAACATCTGTAAAGAGATCTGAAAATGGCTCCTGTTCCACCTGATGGAGCTTCAGAATTGCTGCAAACACAAATGATCTTTCCCATCTTTAGCGGCACTACAACACACCTCTATTTTTTTATCCAACTCAAAGAGACAAATAATAAAGCAGCACACGATCATGAAGTGGAAAAAAATTAAGAAATGGGATTTATTTTTGTCTTTACAAATATGAATCTTTAAAGAGTTCTCGGCATTAGGAATCTGCCTCTGGTTCACCTAAATCTGGTGCATTCGCCTTTAGGTTTTAACTTCTCAGTTTTGGAACGAACCAAACCAGTCAAAGATTTTTTTTAAAAGGTCAGAGTTAAAGTTCTGGTTACATTTTAAACAGTTTTAAGTTTTATCTTAGGATTGCAGAAAGAAGAACTTTATCAACTAAAGAAAACTCCTAAAAAGTGTTTAAGACTTTTAGCTGGAATTGCTACAAAAAGGTTTGTCTATAAAGCCAACAACATAGATCAAATGTCTATAAAACCCCTAAGCCATTTTCCTTCATAGTACTTTGTTTTATGTTATCATATAAAATCCAATTCAATACACACAAATATTTGTGGTTACCACGCAACAAAATGTAAAAAAGAAAGATAACCCCTGGGGTATGAATACTTTTTTAAAGCACTGTATCAACTTAAATTGATTTTATGGAAACAAACGGATACAGACTTTGGATTTTCCAGCCGACATGCAATACATCTGCACCATATTGGATACAACTATTGTGGGGAAGCAGATCTTTTGATATGCAGAGTAAAATAATAAACAACAGCACTCTTATTTTCTTTAATGCATTAAAGTTTACAACACCCCTGGCAACCAGTGAGGGCTGTTCAGCATTGGAGTTTTGAATAATATGCATGCATACAAAGTAAAATGAAGATGAGATGAATTTCAATAAACAGTCATGCTGAAATGACTTGAGGGCATGCATCTTGTCAAAATAGGACAACCACATAATTAATTGAAGAGGCAGCACTTTGCACAGAATGTAGCCTTCAATAACACATATGGAGATCAAGCACAGAACTCTTCAAGTGATCTAAGATGTTATCTTAGAAGCAACATCAATCAGATGTAAAACCCACTGACAGCCAGATGTGCCTCAGTGAAGATTTCTCAGTTCTAGAAAGCTGAACTTCTAGGAATCAGTTGTCAGTGTGTGATGTTAGAGTGAGCATTAAACTGAACTCCAAGCTATAAATACATCACATGGAGGAACCTGGGGGTCAGTGCTGATACATCAATTTGCTGATATGATTAAAATCAATCTGCCTTGTGCTGTATTTGTTTGTTCAAATTTTTAAAGGATTTACATTATCAGCACTTGGCATAAATATTTATGACCCCTGACTCCCACATTTTGCCACATTACAACCACAAGCCTTAAAATACCTTATTGATCTCGTTGGGATTTAATCGGATAGATAGACCAACATGTGGTTGTCACATTGGTGGAATGGAATTGAAAAAAAACACAATTTCAGATTTTGTTTCAAATGAAAACCTGAAAGGTCCTGCATTCCTCCCTACTTTTAAAATCTGACTTTTGCTGAAATAACAGCTGCAAACCGTTAGGGAACCTTTGTCTGCCAGCTTTTCAAATCAAATCACTAAACACATCAGTCATTCTCCTCAAAGTAGCTCAACTTTTGTCATATTCGATTAGGAATGCTTAAAGTCAAAGGTTTTTTCAAATCTTACCGCTACATACTTTGACCACAGCCGGTCCTTGTAGCTCTGATTGTACGTTTAGGTTCTTTGTCCTGATTGAAGGTAGAACCTCAGTCCCAATATGAAGTCTTTCGCAGCCTCTGATAGATTTTCTTCTATAAATGTCCTAAATCTAGCTCAGCTTACTTTTCCATTGCGTGACACTTCCATCACCATGCTTCATAGTGGTAGAGGTGTTACCATTAATTATATACAGTTCTTGTTTCCACTAAACAATTTTTTTTGCATATTATTCCAAAATCCCCTTCTTCCAGATGTTTGCAGTGTTCCCTGCATTGCTTGTTGCGAACTCAACTTCTAATAAAACAATCTGTGGATCCTCAACAGTTACTGTTGGCTTCTTGGATGCTTTTGTTATTAATATGAGAATTATGTGGTACTTTGAATTCCTTTTTAAATGTAGTTTTGGCTAATTTAGAGCAAATTTTTATTTTACAAAAAAAAAAAAAGTAATTTTTTTTGCCTGTTGTTTTATAATAAAAAGTGAACCAGTTCAGTTGTATAGAAATACTGTTTGAAATTTCTGCTTTCATTTTGGGACCTAACATCCCCTTTTCTCTTTGTATTTATTTCATTGTTGCCATTTTTCATTGTCTATTAAACTCCTTATTATCTCTTTAGGTGTTTCCAATTTAAAATTACTTTTCTAATTTACATTTTCTGTTATCCGGTATTTAAATGTAACAATTTCTCTTCCAACCTGTAGGAACCTGGGCTACTTTGCATGCCAGGAGAGCCCATCCTCAGTGATTCTGAGCCTGTGGGAAGCCCAGCACCAGGACTCTGGAGACCTTGACTCTCTGGCCAGTGCACTTGAGGAAATCGGAAAAGTTCAGTCCCCCAGGGAAGCCGGCACCCTTGGCTGCAGTAAAGAAGACTCTGAACTGACGAGACTTGGGTAGGGAGGGTCTACAGCCGAGCAAGTCATGACAAACCTTTACTGCATGAACACCAGTGACCAGGTGTGCTGAGTTACCCACTGAGAGGAGGAGACTGTTACTAAAGGAACACCTCTGCTAAACCAAATGGTCCATACAGACACAACAAAGTCAAGAACGGATCAAGACATGAGTATTTGTGTTATAAGAGGCACTAATGTATTTTGGGAAAGGTGATCAGTAACGTAGTAAACCATCAATAATTGAGAATTATCCGCAAAAGCTCTAAATCTCAACTCAATCACTCATAGTCGGTGATTTTTAGATCTCTGTGTGAAGAGTTCCCTTCAGTTGGATGAAGTAGGTATCAAACACGTCTTTCTAGAACCAGATGTAATCAGATAATCAACAAGGCCAGTACAATAAAAAAGTATTCTCTCATTTATTTTATAGATTTCTGAGGAAACTTATTTTCTTCATTGTATATTTAATCGGTTTAAAGAAGAAAAAGTAAGACGTTTTTTCTCTCCATTCCAGAAGGTCAGAGACACTAACTGTGATTAGTATCTGAAAGGACACACGTCCACATGATGAGGAGATAATAGATGGATGAATCACGCTGATAGCTGTAATTTTAAGAATCAGCCACAAGCATGCAGGAACATTTTCAGCCCTTGCAGACAAAGAAAAATATCAAAGCAGAGGCCGCAGAGGAGGAACAGGCTGATCTGTGGCTCATCTGGAAATCCAGCCAGAGGTGAACCACATCCCTGCTGAGTTCAAGTAATCAGCATCTGGTTAATTTAAAGCAAATTCAATATGTGACGTGTGACTTCATCCTCCAAAGCCACTGCAAAGCCTTCATATTTCTGGTGTGTATTTCCAAGACCCCTGGGGCTTTTTTTTTTTTTCCTCTTTCCTATATGTTGAATTAAAATTTGGACTTTTGATGTGTGGCTTGAGTGGAGCAGCTTCTTCAGCATCCAGAGTTTATCAAATAGCCAGCCATCCTCAACTTCACCTTCTGTTGACTCAGCAAAACCTTCTTGATTTTAAAAAAAGGTCCCCACAGTCAGTGGCCCCAGGTGGCCCTAAGCTTAATAAAGCCACTTTTCCGTTGAATTCAATGTCGGGACTCCCTTCTCATCTGTTAAGTTAATTCACTTCTGGCCGACCAGGCAGCCCACATTACAGTGCAGCTAAGAAATCTGGAGGGACTTTGAAAACTGCTTTCAAATAAAAGATGAAACAGAGAGCCCCACAGAGTGCAATGATATCACACAGAATAGGTTCATAAAGTATCATCCAACCTTATTGGCACTGTTGGTAAATATGTTTAAAAAGCTTTGAAATCAATGTTTCTTTTATTTTAGCCAAACATTTCCACATTAAAAAGCAACTTAAGTTAATTAACGGAAAGAAAACCCCCCTAGGGAGTGAAATATTCTGTTTGTTTTTTTAGAAAACCAATAGGGTTAAAGACAACCAAGCCTGGTCCTCTGTTATGTTTTATTTGGATGGACGACAAAAGGAGATATCTTTGGATGTTTAAAGTTCATAAGCTTAGAGGGTTTCTCAGAATCTCGGAGCATCATACATCCTCCACTGTACTTAGTAACAGTCTCACAGTGCTAATCCACTTTTTATGCAACATAGAATGTTTCAGTAGAAAAAGCTCAGTTTTAGAGCAAACATGTTTCCAGCACAGTAAGTAAACAGAGATCTATGATTGTAATGGTAGGGCAGAAAGGTTATGTTCTTCTCTTTCAAATAGCTGCTTATCAGATTGTGTTTTTATGGGGACCAAGTGATTTCAACTCCAGTAGTTCTCAAACACAAAGCTTTGGAAATGCTTTATTTTTTTATGTCCATTCTCATCTTCCTCATTGTGTCTGGTAGCAAAATAATTATCCCAACAAAGGCCAGTGGCGGACAATAATCTTCTGCTGCTCAGTGTGTTTATATCCTGAGAAAACATGAATTTTCAAAAGTTTCTTGACAGTTTGATTAGCGTAAAAGAGTTTATTCCAGACTCAATCCCCATACAGTAGCTATGTTTATTTTACAGCCACTATTATAAGTATGAGCACATATGACACTATGGATTTCTCTCATTTTTCTTCCCTGAATGAATGAAATGAAGGACTGAATTTCTTTTGGAATTTTTATGTTGTTTTTTTTTGTTGTTGTTAGTACTGCAGATTTTTACCCATTTTTACCAATGTTGACAATGAGTGTGGAGCACTAGAGTTCAATGAAAAGCTAGGCAAATGAAAAAACAGGCCTTGATAACTCAGATAAGGTCAATTCTTTGTCACTTGCAGCTTTCGAAAATAACAGCTAACTTTTCACATTAAATAGATGCTCTGCATTCAAATCACTTTAGTTATTGCTTCAGGCTCAGTATAAAACCTTGGAAACCAGCAAACGATGATCTGAATCCCTTTAGGAATGTAAAAAGATCTTCAGATCTCTCTCTATGTAAAAACACGAAGATAAAAGGATCTATAAGACTTTTTTTTACCTTTATGTGAAGATAAAAACGGACCCGTTCCTTCATGGATATTGTAACTGTTTCTTGTCTCAGACGTGAAGACCAAAGCAGAATGATTTGGTTCCTTCGCCTCACAGGCAGGAAATTCTTGCTGATTATTTTTTTTTTATTTATTGAAATACATTGAGATATTCAGTTACACAAGAATGCATCTCATTCATCAACTGCTGAGATGTGTTTTCAATCAGGACTGTTTAAAGAAAACGACCCATGTGGTTCCCTCCAAGCCTATTCAGACGTTCAACTAAAGAACATTACAAAATTAGGACCTCATGCCATTAGTCTCTCCTACATGTCACTATGTAAAGAAATGTCCTCTAAGATCTGCTAATAACAAGTTTCTTTGTAAAATACCAGAAGGATCAATAGCCCTTAAAACTTGTATTTCTGACTATACAACTGGTTACTCATACAGGCTGTTATCACTGTGTTGCTGTTACAATTCTTTATGCTTTGTTGTGTAAGCTGCTCCATCTGCCTTTCTCCCTTAAAAAAAAACATTTCTTAAGCTGATGAATAAAAAAAACCTATACAGACAAATTTAACTGGATTAAAAATTGCACATAAAAGTGTAGTCAGTGTGATTTTAATAGCTTCCTAAATAAACTACATTTTTACATTACCTGTTGGGAAGAACAGCTTTATTCCAGGAAGAATTGGCAAAGAGCTATTAGCATATTATCGCTTATAGATGAATGGGTCCCAAAGCAAGCTGTCAGCAGAGGCTTTCTTTGGCAAATGATCTAAATGCTATAAATATTGTTGTGGAAAAAAAGAACAAAAAAAAAGTCATTGCAGCCAGAAGCTGAATTCATTATATATTTAGTTTCCTGGTCTGTTGCCCGAGAAATTCCAGCGACACATTTGTCATTTCCTGATTTCTCTCTTTTAAAGTGACACGACCGTCTCTGCTGAAGTACAATATATGCTTTGAAACTCCTGCAAATTCTTGGGTGAGAGACAATTTTTATCACTTTAGATTATGTATTAAATACCATATTGCATTAATAAACTTATTTGAGCTTTGGATTAAGTTGGGTTTTAGAAAAAGCTTCCAAGAAGCAGGCTTTGAAAAGTCCATTGGATGGGGCTACATGGTGAGAAAACAAAGAGAAAAGCAAAGAGAAGATGAGACTTTTGGTGTGAATTACTACATTTGTGAAAATGCCCTAAAATGTCCTTGAAGTGAGCAGCCAAATTGTATCTTTGCCGTTGTTCCTTAGTTATATTCCCAAAAAAATTGATATAACAGCTAAGGAAGACTGAAAGAAAACAATATGCACTAGAAGGGAATGCTGGGTTTCCCCCCAATGGAGATCAAGGATTAGAAAGCCATGGAAGGCTGCTGATGGTCTGCTGAGCAACCAAATCACTGGTTTCATTTACAGACGGGACTGTGTGAGTTGATGGAAATATTGACCTATAAAGACGGGGATGCATTCAAATTACACTGCTACCAATTCCAAGTCAAAGCCTGCCAAAAGACATAAATCTATTTACTACATTAAAGGGGGAATGATTAGTCCTATTCTTGCCATTTTCTGCAGCAGGCAGATCAGAGATGGCTCTGCGTTCCCCGGCTTATATGATGATTTCTAATCAGGGAGGAAGCCTCACCTTGCTATGCAGATCTATACCAAACACTAACAGCTCTCTGATTTATTCCACCGCTTAAATATTTTATTTACACAAGCTGCTGGATGTTTGGATTGTTTTGTTTAAATCAACATAGTTTGAAGCCTGTGTCAGTTTCCAGGGTAAAGCTCAGACAAAAAGGCATTCTGCTGCCAAATCCCACTCTGGAAACGTTTTTTTTCTGTTTTCACTCATTGCCCATCCTAAATCTTTTTGTTAATTATGTTTAGCAGCACATTCTGCCTCCGTCTGCATAAAGAAAAAGAAAGGAAACTTCTAGCTTTATAGTTACCAGTGTTCGAATTGTGCCTCTTCTTTGTGTGGGTTTAGAGTAACTGGGAAAGTCTGACCAGAATGTTTTTTTTTCTTACTCACCATATCCAAGAACCTAGGATGTTATATGCAAAAGCTGCGTCGTTTCTTGCCATGCACAGTGTTCACCTTAAAGCTACTGCAGAGGTGTTTCCTGAGAAAACTGAAGCATTTAAACCTGTTATCTATGATGCCAGGAACTTACGGCAGCAATGAGCCGACTGCAGATGACGCGGCCGCCTGTCGCCTGACGACGCTCAGCATGGCTGTCAGTGTCCTTCAGCTAAACTCAAAGAGTGTATCTGTGCGAGCGTGCAGAGGAAAGTTGTGTGTACATTTGAAAAATGTGTTCTGTGTCCTTCGAGAATCCAGCCTACAGTACTGCTAATATTTCAGCTTCAGAGTGTGAGATAATGTGGTTTATTTTCACAGCCTATCATGGTGAGATCTGCATCGCTTTGAAAGGAAAATAGAAAAACAGTGACTGCTTCAGTTCTACAGACATTTCACGTCGATAAAAGCATCATTGCAGAGATATTTTGTTGTTTCTACTACTGCCTTTTAAATATGTTTAATATATGAAATAAAAAAAAGGAATCTTTAATATTAAGGATTTAAAGATAATTATTTGCAGTTATATGTGTTTGATTTGAAGCATTTTATTAAAAATCCTGTACTGAAGATTTGAGTTAAGTTCCATATGAATGTTAATGTTGGGGAAAAGATTGATAGCCATACTGCTAATCAGTAGTGATGACTTCTTTGTCCTTGTTTTCTTTTTTTTTTTTCCTTTTCAAAGTTTTAAATTTTGATGCTGTATATATTGTATTGTGTTGAAATAAATATGCAGTGAAAGTGTTTTTTGGTTTTTCTCTCCCCTTGCTTTTCTCATACCCTGTTGACAGCTGCACCGCTAGCAGCTTTGCATTGTTTTTGCAAACTTCCAGTCACTTTCTAAAATATTTCCATACAGTAGTAAGTTAAACTACTGTGTCTTGCAAATCTTCCGCTAAGGTAATGGTTTAGTTTATGAAAGTTGACTGGAAACTGGGGTTATTAAGAAAAAATTCTAGCATTAAAAACAAAAAATGATTGCTAGATTACGGACATCCAAGATATTTAACACAATAAAAAAAAAATCGTATATTTTTAGAACTTTTTTGGCTTTAAATTACTTACCTAAACAGCAAAATGCTGCTCTTCCTTAACCTAGCTCTTTAATCATTGATAAAAATGGTACTACTTTAAGTGGAGATTAGATTTACACCTATTTCAATACAACTATTATTAATTTTCCACCTTCACTCCTTTCAAACTACATCTTCCATAATGCACTGCTACAGATCATCATGGCCCTGATGTGTTAGCTGATACACCCAGCACAACACACTCATAATGTGTTCACCAGTCCATGACTTTAACATGCAAAAGAAAGCAGACCCCTTACCCTGAAAACACTTAATAGTTATTTTGGTTTTGATTGTGGAGATGTACAGCTGAACAACAATCTCCTTTTCAGTGTTAAGGTTTTAAAAACCATCCTAACTTGCCATGTTTCGTTCACTACACATTGTCATACAGTCAGCATGTTAGCAGACTGTCTCTGCATCTTGGCTCCGGTGTGGATTTCTCCAGACACTGTTGTCCATTTCTCTTGAACAGAGTGCCTGTTCTTGTGCCACCAATAGCTGTGATGTTCATCAGTGCAACTCTCTATATCTATATACAACTTTTTATCACCAGCTACTCCCTCATATACTGGTTACATGACCCATGCAAACAAGATAAAATCCCTAAATCTGACGGAACAGAAAACAGGTTAGATTATCGTCCATGCAGCAGGATGAGTTCACTTGATGAGTTTTCTTGACTAAAGTTGGGTTTTAAAATAGGAAATAAATTCCTAAAACAGAACAAATAATCTAACATTTCTAAATGGTTGCCAGGTTTTTTTTATCTTCCCAGTGCATTTCAGGATCTTTACTTTTTCTTTATGGAAAGGGGAGCAGTAGCAGCAGCTGTGACTCCATTTCCAAGCTGTTATACCTACAACAAATGTGATGACTGTCAGCATGGTAATGTTGATGGCTTGGAGTGTTTTCTTACATTTCAGGTGAGCTTTCTTTCAGGACCTGCCTTTCCGCAGTAGTAATAGTTTGGGCTAACATCCACGGAGCCTCATCAAGGTTCTCTCCTGTTGAACATTAAGGTGTTGTTATGCTGCAGTGGTAGTTCTTCCCATTCAGTTGTGATCAACCTTTCTCTGTTGGAAAGCATTCAGCCCCACTGAGCACATCTGACTGACATCCAGATGTCCTTGCAGTAAATCTTGGTTAGGTTACAGCTTTAATTATTCATACATATTCACATTTAAAGTTGGTTTTCGAAGAAGTGATGTTTTTTCTTCTAGGAAATTACAGAGATTTCCCAGAATATGGCACATCAAAAATCTTTACGCTCTTTTCAATCATCATTGTAAAAAAGTAAATAGTGTATATAGTAGCATACAGAAATTATTGCTATCAAACATACCAGTTTAGATTACTGATTTAATTAAAAAGAAGAAATTTTGTATTTTTGAAAAAAAAAAATTCCTTTTGGAGAAAGGTATACAACAAAGTTAAAGTTTCAAGTTTGTGATCGCTAGCTTATGATTAGATACCTGCCAAATAAATGACAGGAACCAGATATATTTACTCACCGTTATCATCATTTAACTTCATGCAAGGTCAAACGTGGACGCCTCAGTGGAGCAGGTTTCAGGAATTATCCATGCATGTGACTCAGTGGTGCATGTAGAAAGCACATCATCAATATCTCTGCAGTAAGTAGTCTTCTATATGCATGTGATAAAGGAATGACAAAGATGTATACTTCTAGTGCACGTGTGAAATCTGGTTGTCTGCCTTAAATTGTGCTAAAATATTTTTTTTTTTTTTACATTCTTTAGTGATTTATATTTAAGATCTACTTCTGTTGTTTTTAATAGGAAGTTACCAACACTAAAAAATCTAGAGTTTTTCAAACTACTGAGCTCCAAGAAGCTTTGCAGCACTACAGAGCTGTGATAGACTTCAATATACATGCACAAAAAATAAAAAACTAATCTATCTCAAAAAGAAAAAGGCCTGATCTTGTTTCTTTAAAGCATTTATAAAACAGCTAATTTTATAACACATTTTTTGTTTCATATTAACTTTGATTGGATAAAACATAATTAGGATGCATAGATTTTAAAATTAGAATCTAAACAAAGGTTTTCTAATCATCTCATGCATAACATGTATATTTAATTTTATTTGCTTAGCATCACATAAAAAGTTATAGTACTATTAGAAGATATGAGATTTCAGAGGTTAGTTATTTTTCAACCATTCTAACTTTATAACACAGATCAAATAACATTTGCTCAAATTAAACATATTTCGCAATCACAGGAATAACAAGGAAGGAAGGAACCAAGGGGGGAAGGAACCAGGTAAGGAAGGAGCCAAGGGAGGAAGGAAGCAGGGAAGGAACGAACAAATAAATGAAGAAAGAAATGAATGAAGGACCAATGAACAAACCTTAGCAGACTGATAACTTTGCAGCTTCAAACATGATTAAAGACAAAGTCCCAGTTTCTGTTTGCAGAACCAAAGCAGAAAATCAAGCAATAAATGGGGCATAGGCCAAAGGCATGAAGCAAAGTAAATGAAGAATCGAAAATAAACAGCCCACTGTGTGTTAATAATAAGAAAATAAAATAGGGAACTCATAGATAGAGAGAAGAGGGGAGAAGGTATGGCATGCAGGTAAGAATGAGGAACAGCTGAGTTCAATGAAGGGACAAAGAGCTGAGGGAGGGTAGAAATAAACAGGAGTTGACAAGAAAGAAAAAGGGAAGAAATCTAAAATTATCTCCAACTAAATAAATAAAATAGAAGCATCATAATATATATAAAAAAAATAAAGATTATACCTTACCTGGTGATCAAAGCAAACTGATTATTCAAAATATATATAAACTGAAACACATGAATGGAAACATCACAAGTTTAGTAAATGTAGGCAGTTTGAGGAGGCTAATGCTGATGCATGTTTACATCAGGTTTAATTTATCAACCATGAATGGAAGGCATAAGTAAACTACTTTATCCCTCATCCTTATTTGACATCTACATAATGATTAGAACTCAGCTGAAGTCTT